CAAAGGCACGACTCGGTCCAATGCTGCGGCGGCAGTTGTTTCCCAAGCCGCCGCCTGATCTTCCGCCGAGTCGTGGACCAGATCCTCCGGATATGGCCCAAGCTCCGTCAGGAACCTCTCAGGGTCCATCAGTCGCCTGGGACGGAACCATCTAGGTGGTTCCGTCTCCCTGCGGCGAGGGGGAGCGGTCCGGAAGTCCTTTTACGGAATGTATTTTACGGAATGTTCTTTTACGGAATGTATTTTATCTCCAACATTACCTCCAAACAATCATAATCTTATAAATCTTTCAGTCATTTTTTAAAACTAAGAAAAACAAAACACTTTTCTTAAGATACTCTACAAGTGCTTAAATTGCTTTTCACCAGCTGTATTATATTCGTCTATAGATGGGCATCTGAATTGTATATAATGGAATGATTGTTGCCTTCAGACCCCTTTTTCACTATTGTTACCATTGGTCAAGATGTTTTGTTATGTTACATAAGCTTTTCAACAAATAGCAGGATGAACAGAAATATCATTCAGTTGATATATAATTTATATCAATAAATTATATATATCAATAATGTATAATTTTCAACACTCCCAAAACTAAAATTGAATTTGCTTTTTTCTTAATATTTCCAAGAATATTTTATTAGTTACAAATTGTTTCAGTATCTGAGGGGCTGCCATAGGGCAGAAGGGGTCAGGTTGTTCACCAGAGCACCAGAGAGAAGAACGAGAAACAATGGTTGGAAACTGATCAAGGAGAGAAGCAACCTGGATCTAAGGAGAAACTTCCTGACAGTGAGGACAATCAACCAGTGGAACAGCCTACCCCCAGAAATTGTGGGCGCTCCATCACTGGAGGTCTTTAAAAAGAGACTGGACAATCACCTGTCTGAGATGGTGTAGGTTCTCCTGCTTAAGCGGGAGGCTGGACTAGAAGACCCCGAAGGTCTCTTCCAGCTCTATTCTATTCAAAAGATTAATTTCCATTGGTATAGTTCATTAAAAGCTTTATCTTGTAAAAAAAATTTAAACAGATTTTTTTTTACAACTTCATTGGAATATAATCCATCTCAGAGAGCCATTTTCAGTCTTTGAGATAGACAGACATAATAAAAATGCAGAATGTGAAAACAAGACCAAAAACAGGAGTCTTAATTTAAATAAATTTAAATATTTTAAATAAGAACATAAACAGCTGGACTGGAAATGCAGAATGTGAAAACAAGATCAAAAAAAGAAGGAGTCTTAATTTAAATAAATTTAAATATCTTAAATAAGAACATAAACAGCTGGACTGGACCTCTGGCTCATCTAGTCCAGCTGTCTGTTCTCACAGTGGCCAACCAACTGTACAAGGAAGGCCACCAGTCTTTCAGTGGATGGTCTTCGGAAGCAGTCACATCGTTATCAAGATTAACTGACAATGATCACCATGACTTTCACTGATATTTTTGAAGTCAGTCAAGCTAGTAGCCAGTAACACATCTTGAGGCAGTGAATTACACATTGTTTTAAAAAATATTTCCTTTTTTTCTGCCCTGATTCTTCCAAGATTCAATTTCATTAATGACCTCTGGTTCTAGTTTTTTGGGAAGGAGAAAATAGATTCTCCTTGTCCACTTTGCCTACACCATGCATAATTTTTACACTTCAACTATGTTTCCTCTCATTCACCTGTTTTTTAGGTCCCAAAGTCCCAATACAGCAACCTTTATAGAAAAGCGCTCAAGCCTCTTAAAAAATCTTAACATAGTCCTTGAATTACAGCCACAACTGAGCCTTGAATTTTGGCTGCAAGTCATTCTGGTTTTAAATGTTTTGCTTTTTACTATTTGGCATTCCCAAACTGCCACCTCCTTTTGATTTATGGGAGATGTTTTCCTCCCTGTTTTATTTGCTTAGTCCCCCTTTTTGTTTTCTGAAGGCAAAGCGATGCAGGAAGTAGCTTCCTTTACAGATCCTTTACCTATGGATATGTATGCTTACATCCTGTGTTACTTATGTATTAGTCTCTCACTTTTCTGAAAAGTATAAATATGAATGCATCCCTTTCTCACTCAATATTCTTCGGAGAGATCCCACCAGCATGTGCTGCCTAATAAACACTGCAATGAGTCTTGATTATTGGCTTTTTCCATAGTAAGTTGAGTCATCAGATGACTAGGCTTGACTTTACAACTATTTTTACGGTGGCCATTAAGTTACACCATATTTGTTAAACATATCATGTGGTATAAGTTTGAATCCAGCTTATCCAATTGGGATCTTTTGCTGGAAAACAGCAAAAAAAAAATTGCAACACACAATCATGTGACCATGAGATACTGCAACCAGCCATAAATGCAAGTCAGTTCCCAAGCAACCAAAATGTGATCACATGATCATGGAGAGTTTAGGAGTCATATCTCTGAGGATGGGTTGCAAGTAAGTAACATAGTCACCTTCCTTTTCAAACAAAAACTAATTAGCAAGTGTTTCAAACTTAACACCCTTGAGCATAAAGCACAGGCCAAACATTTTTCCTATCCATGTCTTCCTGCTCCTCTTGGGCTCTTCCAAATCCTTTATGTTTGCAGGTTAACACTGTACCTTATGCATGAAGACCAGGGCACGCTCATGGCAGTTGTTCACTTCTTCATAGCAGGGATCTGTTACACATTTGCTCTTCACTTGTTTCCGTCGCTGCTTAAGATAGTTGTACCACAGCTTGTAGCTGCAAGACATAACAAAAGAGACCATCAACATCGAAATAATTTTGATCTTTTCCAATTCCGGCAGCAAACGTCGAACCACTATCTTCACACTTTGTTAGGCTACAAAGTGTGCTAGCTACCCTTTGCTGATCTCTTTCAGCAAAGACAAACTTGGACAAAAAAAAGGGGGGGGGGCAGAACGGGCATCCGAGTTATTGACTTTGAAAAATCAGCAGCTTCAATGTAAAACTGCGCGGTAAAAAAATAATTTTAGTATTTGCAAAAATGTAATTTTCAAAACACTCATAATTAATGAAAGATAACTATACCTTCCTGGCAATTCCTTAAGAGCTCTCTCATAGATCAGGTTCAGGATATGTTTGGGAGCATTCTGCTTGAAGTCAATATAGCGGATCCAGCACTTGACAGAGAATGGGTTTCGCAAGATCTCTTCTTCATACTGTAGGTCTTCTTCCTCCTGTGCAGATAGAAAACATAGGTTTGGACAAAAAGTACTGCTTTCTTTCACTGAATAGCCCTACAACTTCAATAACTCAACAATATTATTTTCAGGTTATTTCTATAGATAGATTACAGCATTATGTAGTAATAAAATTAAATACAGTGGGGGACTAAGAAAATCTAAACACTCATCCAAATGTCAGTATCATTAAATAGCTACTGCTACATCTCTGTAATGCTTCCGTTGTCTCTATCCACACCATTACTTATGGGAATAATAGGTTAATAAAAATTATATGATTATGTTACTAAATGTTGACATAAATGTTGCAACAGATTTGGAAATAATACTATTCTAATTGAAATATTAGATAATGTTATGAACTTTCCTGCCCAACTCACAAAGGCGCAGAGAAATTGTAGCTATACTTATCTTAAAATGTGCTTTCAAAAGCATGATGTGATTTTTCATCCTTTAATTATATATGGTTAGAAGGAAGTTGGCTATACAAGCCATTTTAGGGTGCCTATATATTTCCCAAAGTAGATTACTCTTAAAGATAAAATGTAGACAGTAGTTTCAGACAGACACTATTCCGTTCTGATATTTATCAGAGCAACTGTTATTCCTTTCATTTGCAACTATGGATTACAATTCAGTTGACAATTAAGAGGCATTAGCTTTTCCCCATGAGCAAAAATCCCCACGATATATCCACGATGTTGTAAAACTGATCCACTGCAACTACACTTTTTTCTGTTCACGATCGGGTGTATTTGTCCAAGTATATATTTGGACCAATATCTATATCTATATAAATAAAAATGTAAATGTTTGTTTGTTCAAAATCTTAAATCTCCGAAAGTTCTTCACCGATTGCTTTGAAATTTTGACACAACGTTGCATTCGAATACATGCGTGTTTTTATATACCTACTATATATAGATGTCACACCTGTGACAGGTTAAAAACGTGCTTTTTTTGAAAAACAGCACCATCTGTTGGACATAAACATATTACAAACGTGTGCTTTCTCTTTTCTTTCTTTTCCATTTAACCAGACTGAGCCACAGCAACGCGTGGCCGGGTACAGCTAGTAAGTATATATGCATATACTTAGACCAACATACTTACACTTAAAAATACTTATGTTAAAGTATATTTACCCATGTTGTGTGGCTGTAGTAGTATTATTATCCTCCCCATCTTCTTCACTACCCCCTCTTATTGGTACCATTATTATGATTATTATTACTCTGTTGCTTTGCAGCTTTTGCACCGGAGACAAATTCCTTCTGGGTCTAATCACACTTGGCCAATAAAGTGCAGCTTTCTATTCGACTAGTCCAGGGGTAGGCAACCTTGGCTCTTTTATGACTCGTGGACTTCAACTCCCAGAATTCCTGAGCCAGCATGGCTGGCTCAGGAATTCTGGGAGTTGAAGTCCACGAGTCATAAAAGAGCGAAGCAAGCCTCCCCTTCCGATTAGTCTCTACTGAGAAAAACCCTCGTAAGGTAAACATCGATGGAAGCCAAACGTCCCAGACGCAGGGACCCAGCCTCTCTCTCGCTTCCCCCCCCCCCAGCCGTACTCACGAAGAAAAGCTCCCGCTTTCCTAACACCGTCTCCGATTCCGGCATCGCGGTCTTTCCCTCCCGAGGCCAAATACAGCGCGCACAGATGACGTCACTCCTTCCTGGAACGCAACGTCGAATCGGTTGGACGTCTTGCATGGGCTGACCTGCCATTGGCCGCTCCTTCTCCGTTCGCCAGGCGTCATGATCTCGAGGAACCAGCTGGAGATTTTTCGGGTCTGTGATGTTACGGCGGCAGCGGGAGGGGGGGGGGGACATTTCCATTATTTGTTAAAGGGATCGATTAGATTAGGTGGAAGCCTCTCGGAAAAGGCCTCCCCGGCTTTCGGTGGAGCGCTTGGCGGCTCGCTAGATCCCGGGGCGGGTTCCTTCGCTCCGCTTTGGGGGAAGGGTCAAGGTCGGAGAACCTGCGACAGACGCAGTGGAGAGAATTCGGGCATTCTTCCTTTTGACCGGAAAATACTTGTTTCGGTTGTCCCCCAGGCGCTTTTTCACTAGGAAACTGGACTTCCTTGTTTTTTTTTTCTTTGCAGACGTTTCGCTTCTCATCCAAGAAGCTTCTTCAGTTCTGACTGGATGGTGGGGAATGGAAGGGTTTATATACTCCTTGCAGGCAGCTGGTCATTTGCATTCTTTAGACGCAGGGGTAGGCAAGCTTGGCTCTTTTATGACTCGTGGACTTCAACTCCCAGAATTCCTGAGCCAGCCAAGCTGGCTCAGGAATTCTGGGAGTTGAAGTCCACGAGTCATAAAAGAGCCAAGCTTGCCTACCCCTGCTTGAGAGAGTCGTTAGTGCTACCTGGAGGCTTATCTGTGTCTTCAGGGTCACCTGAGTAGTGCAAATGCTCTCTTTGAGAAGAGAGCATTTTGGGCAGAGAGGACCACTGGTTTGAATGGGGTCAAAGAAGCCATCTGTGTCAAAATTGAGCAGCCCTCTCTCAACAGAGGGGGAGGGACACGGCATCCTCTATCTCCAGTCTACAACAAAGTTCTTTTAACAGTTCCAAGAAGGCTCCACACCCATTTGCACTACTCAGGTGATCCTGACAACACAGATGTGCTTCCAGACAGCATTACTAACTCGCTAAAAAAAAATGCAAATGAACAGCTATCTGCAGGAGTATAAATCTTTCCATTCTTCACCATCCAGTCAGAGCTGAAGAAGCTTCTTGGGTGAGAAGTGAAACGTCTTCAAGGAAAAACAAGCAAGTCCAGTTGCCTCGTGAAAAAGTATCTTTGGGACAACCGTGACCTGGATGACTGAGCATCTCCACAGACACGCGTTTCAGTTCGTAAACTCTAAGCTGCACTTGTTAATAGACTTTGCGAGGAAAGCTGTCTCTTTCGTTCCTTTCCCGCAAATACACCTTAAGGTTGAAACTTTGAGGTACTCACTGTTACCCAGAGATCAGAAACTTGGAGCTATTAAGGAAAGGGATACAGGTAGTCCTCGACTTACGACCTCAAATAAGCCCAATTTTTTGTTGCTAAGCGAAACAGTTGTTAAGTGAATTTTGCCGCATGTTATGACCTTTCTTGCCACAGCGGTTAAGTGAATCACTGCCGTTGTTAAATTAGTGACACAGTTGTTCCCCTTTGACATTGCTCGTCAGAAGATTGCAAAAGAGAATCATGTGATCCTGGGATACTGCAACCGTCATCAATGTGAATCGGTTGCCAAGCATCTGACTTTTGATCACGTGAGGATGGGGATGCTGCAACGTCATAAATGTGAAAAGCGGTCATAAGTCCTTTTTTTCAGTGCCGTAACTTCAAACGGTTACTAAATGAACTGTTGTAAGTCGAGGACTACCTGTATTGGGTGGAATTGGCTGCCTTTTCTTCCCCTACAGTGATGTTTCTTAACTTTGGCAGCTTGAAGATGGGTGGGGAATTCTAGAAGCTGAAATCCACATATTTTCAAGCTACCAATATTGGTAAACTTTGCCCTACAGCAGTGGTTCTCAAAGGGTGGTCTGGGAACCTTTCAGCGGATTGCAAGGTCAAAACTATTTTCATAATAATACTAAGATGGTTTTTTTCATTCTTTCACATTGCAACTAACCTTTAAAACATGTTGGGTTTTAATATGGGGTCAAAGCAGAATTTCCTGAAAAGGCTGCTAAAATACTGTACTTCTTCCTTTTCCAACCAAGATCTGTGTGAGGCCGAATTTTCTTTATTTATTCCATCCAAAACAACAGATTGTGGCAGACTGAATGCAGAAATAAATAGGAGAATTCAGCTGTCTTCTATTAAGCCAGATATTAAAAAGATTTGAAAATACTAAACTAATGCTACTCTTACTATTTTTTGGTGGGGGAATGCAGTTATTTTTATACTAAAATATTTATATTGACATGAAAATAGCTTTATTTGCAGATAGCTTTATTATTAACAATACATGAATTATAGGGAGCAGGGCAGTTAAGAAATATGAAATATAAATTAAAATATTATAAAATATTCTCTTTTAATTTCTAATATAGTAAATATTGATAGATACAACCCTTGTTAATAACAATTCTTTGGCATCTTCAATAATTTTTAAAAATGTAAAGGGATCCTGAAACCAAAAAGTTTCAGAACTGCTGTGATAGAGACTAGTACAGCTCTGGATATCACCAGTGGCCGTTTCCTTTTTAACCTTCTAATATTAAAAGAAAAATTAGTCTGAAAAAGAAGTACAGACCCTTTTCCTTTTTGCCATTTTGTAATGTCTGCCTTTTAACTAAAGAGGTAAGGAAAATATATCTAATATAAATCCTGTAAAACAATTTCTTTTCTTTGATTCAACCAATGGCATTTGGCTTTTTTCTTTCTCTTTCAGATGATGTTGTATCTGACTTTCCCGGTTGCTATATTCTGGACAGTAAATCAGACAGAATTTTTTGAAAAATATGCAATTGCAGTAAGTATTCTGTAATTAGATGAGAAACATTTGGGCTAATACATTTATTTCCAAAGTTTCCCTGATGTGCATCTTCAAAAAAAGAGGGGGGGGGGAAGTGGATCCAGGAAACTACAGACCTATTAGCTTGATATCAATACCTGGAAAGATTCTGGAAAAGATAAGCAACAAATCTGCGAACACCTTGAGCAGGAGTCCCCAACCCCTGATCCACAGCCTGGTACTGGGCCACCATAGCCCATTGGAAACCAGGCCACGTAAGTGGTGGGCAAGTGCACAAAGCTGCATTTGTGCAAGAAGTGTGCACTCGAAACCATCCCCTCTCTTCCACCCACCACTGCCGGTCCACAGAGCTGGAAAGGTTGACCTAGAGGCAAACAAAGTCATAACCAAAAACCAACGTGGGTTTGTCAAAAACAAATCATGCCAGACCAATCTTACTGCATTCCTTGACAAAGTGACAAAATTAGTGGACTATGGGTATAATTTACTTGGATCTCAGTAAGGCATTTGATAAAGTTGATCACCACCTACTTGACAACATGGAAAATTATGGGTTAGACAGCATCACCACCAGTTGGATTTGTAACTGGCTGTTAAACCATATTCAATGTGTAGTCCCTAATGAAACTGCATCTACATGGAAGGAAGTATGCAGTGGAGTATCCCAAGCCTCTGTTTTAGGCCCAGTACTCTTCAACATCTTCATGAATGACTTAGATGAGGGGATAGAAGGGGGACTCATCAGATTTGCAGATGTCACCAAGCTGGCAGGAATAGCCAACACTCCAGAAGATAGGCTCAAGATACAGAAGGATCTTGACAGTTGAACACAGGGCCCTATCTAACAACATGAAATTCAATGTAGAGAAAAGTAAGACTTTATATGTGGACAAGAAAAACCAAATGCACAAGTATAGAATAGGTGGTACCTGGCTCAAGAGTAATAACAGAGAGAGGGATCATGGAGTTTTAGTGGACAATCACTTAAATATGAGTGTGCTACAGCTGCCAAAAAAGTCCTAAGCTGCATTAATAGAGGGATAGAATCAAGATCACATGAAATGTTAGTACCACTTTATAATGCCTTGGTAAGACCATACTTGAAATATTGCATTCAGCTTTGGTCGCCATGATATAAAAAAAGATGTTGAGACTCCTGAAAAAGTGCAGAGAAGAGCAACAAACATATGAAGAACTGGAATTGCAGGTTGCAGGAATTGGGTATGTCTAGTTTAATAAAAAGTAGCAGTGCTCCAGTATCTAAGGGGCTGCCACAAAGAAGAAGGGGTCAAACAATTCTCCAAAGCAACTGAAGGCAGGACACGAAGCAATGGATGGAAACTAATCAAGGAGAGAACTAACCTAGAACTAAGAAGAAATTTCCTGACAATTAGAACAATTAATCAATGGAACGACTTGCCTCCAGAAGTTGTGAGTGCTCCAAACTGGAGGTTTTTTTAAAAAAAGATTGGACAATGATTAAGGTATAGGTCACAGTGGTGGCGAACCTATGGCACGAGTGCCGGAGGCGGCACTCGGAGCCCTCTCTGTGGGCACGCACACCATCGCCCCAGCCCCGCCTCCCCACACAGCCCAGTCCTCACCAGCAGCCCCTCCGGAGAAGAGTCACCCCTGGGTGCGGCCCACACGGAGCAGCACAGCCAAGCACATGGCAGCTGGGCAGCACATGATGCTGCGGGGCACAGGCGGAGGGTGTAGCCACCATGGCACTGTAGGGCTGCCTGGGCAATCTGCGGCAGGCCATGGATGGCCCTGAGGGCAGGCGGGGTGAGGGCGGAGCAGGGCGGGGGTGGGCGGGTGGAGCGGGGGCAGGTCGGGGGCAGGGCAGTTTTGGGGCACTCTGTCTCTAAAAGATTCGCCATCACTGGTGTAGGATTTCCTGCTTGAGCAGGGGATTGGACTAGAAGACCTCCAAGGTTCCTTCCAACTTTGTTTTTCTGTTATTCTGTACTTTTTTTATTTTGATTTAAATTGAACAAGGACTTGCTCAAGCACTGGCTGGACTCAGTGGTCTATCATGCTAAAATAAAAGAAATTCACAATAGTGACAATAGGATATTCATTAGAACATAGCAGTACATCTTCCCTCTAAATGATGCACTTTGATTCCAGTTTCCATTCAACTATTTCTTTAAAGCGCAGCATTTTACTTGCTCATCATTCCATATATTTTTCTTGCTGGCATTTTACATTCTGTCATTGCTTGTTATATTACTTCTGA